TTCAAGTATATTGTCAACTGTAGGAAAAAATTGTTATAAATACATATTATTAATAACAGTTATGAGATTATATAATTGTGAATGTATATATGAAATTGATAAAAAAAATAAAAAAAATTGAGGAGAGATCTATAAATATAAAGAGGTAGGAAAGATGGTTTTCCTAAACACTATTTCAACACTAAGCTTATGATAATCATTGTTTATTATTGTCTGAATTAATATCTCTTCCAGATTGACATGTTTGAAATACAAGCTGTGTCACTTGGACATCTACAAAAAGTGCTGCTGTGCTGCAAGAGTGATAACCAGTTGCAGGACTGGTACTGTGAGAAAATAGTCATCAGAGAATCTGGGAAAGAAAACATTTTCATCTGTCAAAGGTTGTATTTGATTTTTAAAAGAAACTTGCCAAACAATTTCTTGATTCCTAAATTGGCAATGTCATGCCTTTATGTTGCCAGTTATATAATTTCCTTGATTTTTACTTCTATTTCTTGCAATGACACAAGAAATAGCATCAGCTAAATTAAAAAAATGTATCCAAACTTGATTCATTCGAATGACAAAATCACTGAAGATGAGAAACACTTTGCTTTCCTGTTTCAGATACTGCAATTGGGCTCAACTTATACGAAATGCAAACTACTTTTATAGAGAGAATACACAAGTTGTATTTTCAAAACTCAAAGGAACATGACTGTTTCCTCCCTCTCTTAATTCTGCTTCCCCCTGTAATTCTTATTTTTTTCCCCCCAGGTATCTAGTTGCAGGATTTCATAACTTTCTAGAACCTAGAAAACATGCCAAAAGGAAAGGATTCCCATGTCTTTAACTGTTGTCTAATAGTGGGAATAGGAACAGATATAGAAGATAATGCCGTCTTCTGCTTCCTGATACCATTTTATATTCTCATTCCAAGCACAATTCCTACATCTGTTATTTCACTCAGTGCTGAAAGTGTAATATCAATTTAATTTTAATCGAGCAATAATTCCTTTATTTTAGAACTAGAATGGTATATAAAGTAATATTCCATCTCGTATTGATTCCCTGATTCTTTGTGTAATATTGGCCAGGTGATTCACGGTTTAAGGAATTATTTAAGGGAACTTCATACCGTATTTTCTAAATGTGTACCTGGCTTAAATCACCTGGTAGATATTTTTGAATACCAGAGTTGGACCACACATCTTTTCCACTTTTGTATATGTGCTCTTTAAAATACTAATAACAACAAGTATTCCACTTAAAGTCCAGGGCTTAACAAACCTAATGGGTTCTTAATGGTCTATCAGTATTTATCAAACATATAAAACAGCCTTTTTTGGGTAGAAGGCATATAATTGCATTGATGAAGCAAGACAGGCATAATTCTAGATGCAGCCAGTTTTTCAACATGAGCTTACCATCCCCTAGTAAATGAGCATCCATTTCCATTTTTCATTTCCTGCGTATAGTGGAAGACCCAGTGTTTTCTTTAAAATGGAATGTGAAATCTTAGTCTTGTTTTCCACTTTCCAATCTAGAGATGGACATTTTTTTCTCACTTCAAAAACACCTGACTTAAAAATAACTGCTTCATATTTTGAACATCTATTTCTTTTGCTTTATTTTTAGATTTATGAGATATTTTTTGTTTTAGTTCTGTTATGAAAAGAAGTACAATATTTAGTATCTAAATAATTATGATAGTAGAATAATACCTTTATTAAGATCAATCAAATTAATATGTGTTGACAAACTCATTGGGTTGAGTTTTCAGTTCTCCAGAGCTATTTATCAGGAAGGTTAGTATAAAATCAAACCTTGCTAATTTAGTTTCTCCTAAAAAATTTTTTTTAATAAACACCTTTGCTGTCTTCAGTCTTCTCTGATGTTGTTTGAACTGGTTACTTCACCTGCTACATAGTATGATCATATCTCTAAAGCAGACATAATTCTTTGCACTTCCTACTTTCTTTTCCTTCCCCTATCCTGTTCTTCCTTTTGTGAAGATGATGCCTATATGTTTTACATAATGAAGGAACATATGAAATATCTCTATGTAGGAATCTGTACTAATCCCAGGTGTATGTACCTTAAACCATACTTTAGCAATGGTGAAGAAAAAAACCCTTAAACGTCACATTATTATGATCTTCTGAAAAAAAGTCAAATTTCTACTTGCCAACTCATGTGATTAAAATATATAATTTTCTCTTTTGCAAAATTTATTCTAATTTTCATTACCTTTCTTTCCTGAAATTAATACTTTACCTTTCTACAATTGAATGATTACAACATGACGCTTTCAAATATTTTGTGTAGCTTTTTTATTATCATGTGTTAAAAGCTTTGCAGAACATAGAAGAATTATCATGTAAGTCTTCCTACTGAAAAAGCCATCCCAATTAGATTGTTAGACATGGATTGACATAATAAACAAGATATTTTCTTATCCTTCCTTCCTTCCATTAATTCTTTCTTCTCTTTTTCAGATGGTTGCCATATATGTCTCAAGGAATAATCCATTCAGAAATAGAGCTGTTTGTCCAGGGTAAATTATATAAACAGAATTTGGAGGGATATTGAATTTCTAAATGCAATATTATGGGCCTAGCACTATTGAATTACTATTGAACAAACATATTGGACTGTTCATCTAAATTGTTCAATCATGAAAACCAAATACAGACATAATGATCAGGATTTGCTGAATCTGTAACTCCCTATTCTCCATACTACCATAAGGCTTCCAAATATGGAACTTTATGGTTGTATGGGAGGCCGTATGTACTCCCACTGTACTATGGAAGTACAGTGGTTATAGGCTCCTCCTTGTGCTATTCTGCCAGTTTCATATGAAGATGCTTCATTATTTTTGTCCTCATGATGTTTCCTTCAGCTTGTCACCAGTTTACCTCAGATTTAGTCTCAAATTAAGCTTCTCACATTTATAACATTTCTCCTCTTCTTACAAAGCTATGCAATACAGTGCCTTTGTAGTAATTGTGGTAATGCCACAGTCAGGGAGTGGGTTCTGCCCAGTTCCCATTGATTTCATAAGACTTCTGTGGATATCCCAAGTCTCTGGCTCCTGATTTCATGATCAGTCTGCTGTTGGAAGCAGGAGAGTTCAATTTTTTCAAACTCCTCCTGAACCAAATACCCATTTATTTTCACTCTTCCTTACACTTTTGCTAAACTTGACAGTTGGTTGTTAAGGCTCAAAGGGGAAAGGAGGCAGAAAAACTAGGGCAATTTATTTAGCCCCAGTTCTCCAATCTCATGGATCTGATTCCCTTGTTTCTTCTTCCAGAGGGATCTATGAGATTTGAGACTGGCAGCTATATAAACACACACACACACACACACCTTATCTTGCTTCTCTTGCCAATCTGCCAAGCCCCAGGCAACCTTGTGCTTGATCCACAGCAGATGGTGCTGCCTCGTAAAGCAGAATAGCACTTCATGCTTTAGCAGGCAAAATCATCCCTGTCCCCACATGGATATCAATGGGGAGTGACATCTGTCTGATATAGCAGCAGCTGCATGGAATAGTATGAGATTTCTTCTCAATGAAACAGTTGAGCACATCCTTCTTCTTCCATGCATCATTTGGCTCAGAACCAGGTTCTGACAGGTAGCCTACTCATCTGTCAAAACCAGCTCCTTGCTTTGAGAGAGCAATTGGTGTTTTTTTTTTAACCAACAGGTTAAATCTACTAATCACCTTCCTTAAGTTGTCCTATTCCATGAATACAATTATTTTTATTTTCTTGGTTTGTCTCGGATGCAAATAAAATTAATACTGTTGTATTGTTGTGCATTAACCATGTGAGAATGGCAGTGAGGCAGTTCCACATATTGTATGTTGGTATTCTTTGCATCCATCTCATGGATTGAATGAAAGGCCATTAATACAGACATGATAAACAGTCCTGCAAATTATTCAAAGAACAATAGAAAGCTGGCTGCTTTTAGATTTTTCAAGTGTGGCAAGCTGGTTTGTGAAAGATATTTTTTTCTTCTGCAGGAGCAGAAGAGTTAATATCAACTTAGCACCTCTTCCCTCCTTCCACATTTTATTGTAACCTGACAACTCTATTATTAACTGTACTGCTATTTTATTTTTGGCAGAAATGCAAATAAATCATCAGTTGAAAATGCAAGAGGAAGAAAATGGTAAACTGTTCCGCTGCTTTTTCTTTTAATCAAGTTTAGAGATAACTGAAATCTGTGGGGGTGATGGTTCTGTGAACATCTTTGCCTCCTTTTAACGGACACATTTTCTGGACGGAGGAACATTATGGAGAGTAATAAAGGCACTCATATTATAATATCTCTTTCTCCACAACACTTGTTAAGAACAAAATTCCTGCTTTTATTTTGAATTAGTTCTTTCATTATCAGTTATCCAAAACTGTTAACTATTCACAAAGGTAATTTGTATTGAAGACATTTTTTCTTTATTCTGGCAATGTGACTTTGGTCTCTCTTCCTGATGTGATTTCTCTTTGATTGGCATTTTATCTTAAATAAATGTAAAGAGGAAAAATGTGGTTTATAGCAAATTATGCACCCATCCACAGTTAAAAGAATCAGAGGGTATGAAGATTTTGTATACAAGAGGGAGGGAAATTTATGATCCAGTTAATTTGGATCCTTTAACTATGACCATTGCTAAACTTCACACTTGATGATTAGCATTTTCTAAATGTGTAGAAAGATTTAGATTTTTTTAAATGAGTAGAAAACTATGGTGGCATTCACAATATAAACACTGACACACATTTGAAATAATTTTAATCATGGTTCTTACTTTCGGAGTGCAAGTTGTAAATGAAAGAACATATTTGAGAACAGGGAGGGTTAATTAGAAATTTGGTCTCAGTCAATTCTAGCTAGAGTCAACTACTTCTGTAGCACAGTGGTCTCCAACCTTGGCAACTTTAAGACCTGTGGACTTCAACTCCCAGTTACTCAGCCAGCAAAGCTGAGAGTTGAAGTCCACAAGTCTTAAAGTTGCCAAGGTTGGAGACCACTGCTGAAGCACACAGTGGGAGAATCATGCTGAGGATGTGCCCTGTGCTATATAAGATAATATACTTCCAATTTCTAGCATTGGTTCGCTTATTATAATATTCTGATATTATAATAGTGATTTCATAAATGATAGGGGGAAATACCTCTCCTACCTGTTATTAAAGCTATCAGTACAAGAAAATGATTAGGACATTATACTATCAATCCTAGTATGTGTATATTTATTAATAAGTCATTTTGTGTCCCACAATAGCCTTCAAGGTGGCTTACAATTTAAATCATTAAATAATATATTTTACCCATATATTGAAAATATGAAAGAATATGAGATAAGTTACTAAATTTTTTAATTACATGACACTTTAAAATAGATATCCTTTTTTTCAAATATTTATGATTTGATCACACAGTTCTGTGCACGTTCTCTAAGAAAAATATATATATTCCCACTATTTGGCATAAATTATTTCCAGGTAAATCTACACTAGAAAGCAATTGATGTTGCATTGAAGACCGTTGGGTCATCTAATTCTATCTGCTCTTAAAACATTATCAAAGCATAACCTTAGTTTACAGTATTTTACCATCCAGTATTTTATCCCATCCCTGAGCACCTGCTTTTTCTTTTAAGCATTCGATTGTTCCTGTTTCCTAGGCTTAGTGATGCATTGTTTGCAATAAAGCTGGTACTGCACAGCTCTCCAGGCACTAGGTAGTTACTGAGATAAAACTGCTCTGTCAGTGGAACTCATTTTAATTTTGTTTACCTGCAGGAGAAGATTGGAAAATCACTATAGTCACTGGAGGTTTTGAAACAGCTGGCACAACAGCAACTGTGTCCCTTTATGTTTACGGAGATAACAAGGCTTCAGGTCCTCTTATACTGGGATCTGGAAAACACCAGCTGTTTAATCCCAACAGTACAGATACATTCCAGGTACAATATGACTTCATACAAACAATGAAGAGTAGCTGAGTTATTCAAAACAGGTTTATTCTAAGGTGAATAAGTGACAGACATTTATAATGCTTCTATTGTAATGATTTCAATTCACATTTCATTGTCTCAGTGGTTCATTGAAATAACATGTAGCATACCTGGAAGAACTGAGTGATATGCATATTTATGGCACCACCAATCATACTAAGAATAGTTACTAAAAAGATAGCTAAAGTTTGGGAAGATACTAAGCTACTATTACTGTATATATCAACTTTACTTTTCCTTTCTGATGCATATACTGCGGTTATTTACATGCTATAAAACAGAGATTGAGTTGTTGCACACAACTTGGCCTGCTTCAAACCATTGATTTCAAGGTTTAACATTTCAGCCTGCCAAATAATTCATAGGACTCTTTATCATGTCCACATTAAAGTCTTTGAGTTCACAGTAAAGTATACTAATATAAAATGCACTACTCCAATAAAGAAGTTTTATTCTGTCTCAATACTGAGACCAGTGATTGGTACAATAATGCAAGACAATTTAAGGGCAATGACTGGGAGAAATCCAGGTTGTTTTCCCCTCCTACCAAGAGTAACTTACTGTTGAAGAAATGATCATAATGTGTGATAGGGCTATGCGATGGGGAAGGCTTGTGCATGATGATACTTTTCCATGCTAGAAACCTTGTGCTTTTTCTGAATAAGAGCTTTGACTGCATCTGAAACACCACTAAACCTGGTTGGAAAAAAAGTAGTTAAGATGACAAGTAGTATTCACGATTCATGATGGGTGGGGCTTTATCATGTTAGTAAATAAATGTGGATGCTGTTCTTCCCCCCATGGTAATGAAACCAGTAAGAAAGTATAGCCCTGTAAATCTCTTATTTAGCAGCAGCTTCAAAAAATTTAGAACACACTGATTTGGGGCAGGATGAATAAAAAAAGCTGGTAGAAGTTGGTTCTCCTCCCTGATTTAAATCAGCAAGAGCACCAGTCCCCTTTCTGATTGGTCTAGCATTATTTGAACTCTTTGTTAAACATGTACTTAAAACAAGTTTGTTCTTCCAAAACAGCTACCGTCCATCCAACCATTATCCAAGTAATGTTTTAATGACTTAATGTTGCTTTCCTAATGCTAGATAGTGTTAGCAGATATCTTCGAAGAAGCCAGATATCCAGACTCTCATGCAATCCAAGCCAAAAGCACCATAAACCACCACTAAGGCACTGCTAAGCCACCAGAAAGCAGCAGCTTCAGGTGACAAATAGGAGTGGGGCAGTTCCAATCTCTGACCATGTCATCACCACATGATCAGAGGGGCTCATAGATCAACAAGGCTAGTATTATGAGAAAGGATAAAATTATTTTTAAACCGTTAGACTCATTTAAATTGTCACCTTGCTACTTAGAAAAAGACCTTGCTAACATGTCCTTCAAAAACAGAAAGACAGAAGCATGCAGATGCCAGTAGTACTTACTTAATGACTAGAAGTGGGACTGACAACTATGTCACTAAGCAACATGGTCATTCAGTGAAACATCATGTGAACGCACAAACTTGTAGCCTCACTTCCACTGTGGTCATTAAGCAAGTCACCTGCAGTTGTTTAAATAAAACTCAAGTGGCTATGATTTGCAATTCTACTGCAGGCTTCTCCATTGACTACTTGTTGGGAGCTGGAAGTAAAGCACGCAAATCACATGAGAGTGGAGATGCTGAAACAGTCATAAGTCATAAGTGCCAGGACCAGTTGTAAGAAATGTTTTCAGCACCATTATAACTGAAGTATGGCTAGACAGGTCACTTGTTAAGTGGGGACTGTCTGTATTAACAAATTGAGGGCTAGTGCATTTATTTTAGTTGTTAGTCTTTAAAGCCAAAGAAAACACAATAACTTGTTTTCCTAGAATCACTCATAGCTTGGACAATAATAACTGATAATTAACCCCTTATTTTGGGACAACACTTTCATTAATCATTCCAGAAAATGTCTAGCCAGAATATAACAGCCAAGATCCCGTGTGAGATGTAGAGCTGTTTCTTTAAAACCATTCAGTATTTCAATGTTTGAAGCTCATATTCAGAAGAAAACTTTATGTGAAGGTCTGTGAATCTTGAACAAACTTAGATCTCCTTTAAAGTATTAATTAGCTCCGAAAGTTACAAATTCAGTGAGTGTTTTAGCTTGGAATTGCTAGTGCTACTAAGCCATATCTCCCAAACCACTTCTTGAACATAAATTCTAGCAAATTTCTGGGTCATAATTTTAAAATTCACTAGTAACTGTCCAAAATATAGTCCATTTCCATTACCAGCCCAGCAAAGAAATTTTCAAGGATATTAACATGTTTCGTTTTGCAGCTGACTTCATTTTCTTGGCATTTTCTTTTGGAATACTTGCTCAACTTTCCATTTTAGAAAAAAAAACTATGATTTCCTAGTGGTTCACCATCCAAGTTCATGAATAGTTTTTCAACCAAGATTGGCTAGGTAACCAGGAAGTCAGCAGATAGTCAGCTCAACTTGAAGAAAACTTTGATCTTATTTTATTATGAAATACATGCATTTTCATTTTATCTGAAAATAAACCAAAACACTTTTGCTATTAACATTCAAGACATTTGAAGGGAGGTAGCAGACTGTGGAAGATTGTATCAGATGATATCCACAGGGAAATCCAGTAAAAACTAATAAAAATACCAGTTCCATAGATGACATAGAACAAAATACGTAGCTGCCTTTATGCCCTTAAGATGGTGGGATGGGATAAAGGGAATTGTTATCCAATAAATCTAAAAGGCACCAGTATGGGAAGCAGATACTCAATTCCCCACATAATGTAAAATATAAAAGACATGTAAAATAATGACAGTTAACAAAATTAAACTAGTATGTATTGTAGTAGCCATTGCAACTTCCCACATTACATTTTATCCCCTTTCAGAAATGATTATTTCTGCTTTTAAAAAATTAAAACTGTCACTTTCCCCTTATCCAGGTGCAAATATTGATTAGAAGAAGACCTTGAATTTGAACTTTGAAGTGAGTTTCATTGATATCTGAGAAATCAATGTCTCTAGGACTAAGTGACAAGCACAAACTAATGGGATTCATTTCAAGACAGGAGACAATACCTCCCATTCTCAGTATTTGTCTGTAGTTTGATTAATAAGATAGATTTAGTTGCTCCCAAAATAAAATATGTGACATGAAATGTACCTTCAGTTACAATAGGTATACTTCCTTTTGGTATCGGAGATTTAGTTCTGTCGTCTTTTCATAAATCTATAAGCTGTCTTATACTTAGTGAATTTATATCATGTGATCTTACACAGCTTAGTTGTACAGCTGTAGCGGGCTGTCTAATCTTGATGGCCTGATTAGACCTTTTTGCAAATCATCTGATATATCTTCCATAGTCTACTACCTCTAATAGCCTATCATGAGAAAATCTAAACAATTTTGGTTTTGTCTTTTGAAAGAATACATGAAATTTATAAGCAAATTCTCTTATTAGATTGCACTGAAGTGCATCATATCTTTCAGAGAATGATGCAAGGATTTTCAATCTAAGCTCTTTTTTTCTTTTCTTGAAAAGCATCTGTGATGAAATTTTCTGTAAACATTCCTTTCATATTTCATGTATATGTTGAGATTGTTTTATGGAAAGGACAGGAGAGTCATAAACAATGAGAAAGTGAAAGCATTTCTTGGAATATATTATCATGAACTGAGCTGAATATATGCGAGATTAATTTACCGGTATATGGATTTTTTAGGGAGCACTTTGCCATGAACTGAGCTGGTAATACAAAATACTAATTTATATTAATTGATAAAATACTCACTCAACCATATTAGTAAGCAAGCAAGAATTCTATGCCAAAACATATTACCAGGATGAGAAAATGTGATTGAAGTGAAACTAATGGTAAACAAATATAATCACCAAGATGTCACCATTCTCCAGCATCAGTGATTAGAGCAGTGATCACAAGGCTCGGTTTGATTTGAGGGAAGGCCTATCAATCAATGATTTCTCCCTCCCTTCTGTTCTACAGTATGACCCTTTGCCTAGACACCTTTTTATTATTATTGCTGCCATGGTTCCACCCTTCAAAATTTGGAGGTTTGGAAAATTGGATCAGGAATGGAAACTTGTTGGATGCCCAGAATTCGAACAGCATGTCTGCCTAACTCCAAATAAATAATAATATTCCCAATTGTTGGCTTCCATTTAAAAGCTCAACTTCAGCAGAATCTGGTGGATGCTTATATGTGTGAAGCTGTCCAGAAGTTCTTTTGAGGGATATTTTTGAATGCTGAATATTGAACATGAGACCATTTGCATGCAACAACCTATGTCTTCGCTGTGATGACAAGCCTCCTATTTAGCAAATGGAAGTAAACATTTTTATTGGTTATTATGAAAAATTAATAATTCATTGTTATATAATACAGGGAATAAATGGGTCATTCCCTTGGTTCTCTGGATCTATGCAGAAAGCCCCCTATATGTTGCTTCTATTTTCAACCTAAATGCACAACATATATTAATAGCATTTAGGTGTTATTGTTTTGCTAACGTACTTTGGATGTTCTTGATGAGGATGTGAAGGGGATATGAATGCAAAATAATTCCACACCCTGCTTTCTGAATGTTGCAGAATGTTAGAAATGCATTTATTGAAGGTACAAATATAAGAAATGTTGACAGTGATGGATGTATAAGCACTCTTATTCCTTGCAATAGTGAAATAAAATAGAACTCAGAAAGAAAACCTCTGATTGCATTGTACTGGCAGTAATATTTTTAAGGTTAGTAAGTTCTGACAGAATGTCTTGAATAAGCAGTAGTTTCATAGATTTCAGCTGTCTGCCCCTTCAAAACACATCACATAAGTTGGCACATATCAGCACAGTTGGTAATCTGTGCTTAAAGGTAGTTTGATAACTGGAGCACTAGGTGAATTGAAGATAAAGCTTTGTCAATTGGCACACAAATGACACCTGCCATTTCCTTTGGTTGTTTTCCAATAATTTGGAAATTTGAACAAGCTAAAGATTCAGAACAGACTGTTCAGTACAGATAGATGCTTATGTACACACAGATGAATTTCTGGATTTTGTGCATTTTTTTTAAATATATGGGCAGATAGTCTGTACTAGTGGATGAAAATGTAATACAAACACTCCTACGTACTTTCAAGGAGCAGAGTGAACAGCCTTAGTGTAAATCACATTGGTTCTTTACATGCACATCTTTAAATGTGAAACTGCTGCTGAAGAATGCCTGTTTTTTATGATGCAAGACCAGGAATTCTCAAATATGATATGAAATATGGTATGGTAACAAGGAAAAATTGTGGAGTGTCACTCAAAGGGCAATTTTCAATCTTTTCAAGGAAGGAAAGGGATTATGAGAGATGGATGATTGGGAATTGGCAGGATTTTGGGGATGGGGAATGTTGCTGACTGTGGAAATTGGCTGGTAGGAATTATTGAGGGGAAAAAGAGGAAGAGAGCAGGTTTGGTTCCCAGGAGGAGAAAACAAAGCTATCAATGGTGTGCAGTCAGCTGTGTATTATCAGGTAGTTACATTAAGATTGTTCTTGTAGCAGCTATTGTTTGAGCCTATTTTCTTGCTTTTAGGGTTGCAGTCTATTAAAATGTGATTCTATAAAAGCTGCTCATTGAGACCTTACCTTCAGTAAGTCCCATTTCTGAACTCTGTCTACAGAATTCAGTGCTAATTATGAACTTAAGTTTTCCTACAAACACTCAATCAATCAGAATAGAACTGGAAGGGACCTTGGAGATATTCCAGTCCAACCCCCGCTGCTGAAGCAGGAGACCCTATATCATTTCAGACAAGTGACTGTCCAGACTCTTCTTAAAAACCTCCAATGATGAAGCACCCATAACTTCTGACAGCAAACTGTTCCATTGGTTAATTGTCCTTAGGAAGTTTTTGCTTAATTTCAGGTTTCCATCCATTGTTTCTTGTCCTGCCCTCGGGTGGTTTGGAAAATAATTTGCCCCCTTCTCTTTGTGGCAACCTCTCAAAAGCAAACATCATGTGTCCCCCACCCAGTCCTTCTTTTCTCTAGACTGGCCAAGCCCAAATCCTGCAACTGAAGGGATTGCCACTCAGCTCCCAAAGGTAGTAGCCCCTCTTTGAAGAGAAAGTATACTCCAAAGACAAATGTGCTGTGCGTGATCTTAGTTGTGATTTGGTGAAGGAACCAGAAGAAAGACTATGTGGAACAGATGCTGCATCTATATGGCTCCACATTCACTTTGGTCACCTTTGCAGTCCTGAATATTCTTGGTATAGAAGTATGTGGAAGGACAATCAGTGAACTGTCATTCCTCTCAATACATATGATACTGGGGAGCAATAAAAGAAATAAAACAAGAGACTGGTGTGACTGATGTAGCAATTTTACAAAAAGAAATGGGGAAATTCCATGTGGTTGTAGGCAGATAAGAAGCAACATAGCCCAAAGCTGAATAGGAGGCAAAGGAAGAGAGTTAGGATGGCCACTCCCTAGAACAGTTATGGTGATCCTTTTTTTCTTGGGTGCCAAAAGCTGTATCACATGCATGTGCGTGCCCACAACTATAATTAAATGCCCCCCCCATTGTTCCCCTTGCGCATGCACACACTTGGCTTTCTTGGAGCCTGGGTTTAGGACCTGGCTACCTGAGAGACCGCCTCCTGCCACATACCTCCCAACGACCAACAAGATCTGACAGGTTGGGCCTCCTCTGGGTGCCGTCGGCCGGACAATGCTGGCTGGTGGCCCCTCAGGGGAGGGCCTTCTCTGTAGCTGCGCCGGCCCTGTGGAACGACCTACCCATCGAGATCTGGACCCTTTCCACTCTCTCGGCCTTCCAAAAAGCCACCAAAACCTGGCTGTTCCGGCAGGCCTGGGGCTGTTGATCAATGTCCAGCCCCATCTAGACAGAATGGATGGTGTGTAATTTTAATAACTGTATTTCTAATTTTAAATTTTTAAATTTTTTATCTCGTTTCTGTAAGCCGTCCAGAGTCCTACAGGATTGGGTGGCATATAAATTTTATTAAATTGAAAATTGAAATTGAAATTGAAAACAGCCTTCCCCGCCCCACAGGTCCTCCGGAGGTGGCATGTTTGCAGTGGGATCATTTTTCGTCCTCCCCAGACTCCAGGTGCTTTCTTGGAGCCTGGGGAAGGCAAAACCGGCCTCCTCCGCCTCCCCCAGAGGCCTTCTGGAGGCTGGAAATGGCTCTTTTCTCGACTTCCAGTGGCCCAGTAGGTCTATTTTTTGCCCTCCCCAGGTTCCAGAGCTTTTCCTGGAACCTGGGGAGGACGAAAACGGCCTCCCCAAACCCCCGGAGTCCCTCCAGATGCTGGAAATGGTCTGTTTTCCGACTTCCGGTGGGCCCAGTAGGTCTGCTTTTCACCCTCCCTAGGCTTCAGGAAGCTCTCCTGAAGCCTGGAGGGTGAAAAATGGCCCAATGGATGCACTGGACGTTCATTTCTGAACTCCGGAAGCCCGAAATCAGCTGGCCAGTGCATGCATGTGTGCTGGAGCTGACATAGGGCAACGCCTCGCATGCCCTCAGATATGGTTCCATGTGCCACCTGTGGCATGTGTGCCATAGGTTTGCCATAATGGCCCTAGAATATCCCAAGGTATATAGATTACGCTGTGAGTAATAAAGGTTTGCCAAGATTCAGTCTAGGATGCAAGCAAATAAATAACTGAACTTTGGCTGGCTTGTATGTAATTCAAGCCTGGACTGGAAGTGACAAATATTTAAAATATAACATGACTAACAGAGGCATCCAAGTATATGTAATATGATGATTATATTCACTTGTGTTTAATTATTGTAACAATAGCTTGTTGTTAAAACTAAAGTTAGCATTTTTAACAGACAAAATAATCATAGTTTGTCTAATTAATTCTAGGCCTCTCTTCCTTTTATAAGCAATGCGTTTTTAGTTCCTGTGAGCTTGGGAGGAATATAACAACCAGACTAGGAATAAGGTGGGAAACTACAAGCAGACTGGGCATTCATTTGCATTTCATGCATAGTTGCAATTAGTAAGTTAGCAGCAAAACTGTCAAGTATCAGGGGAATCAGAAGATCTGGTCGGTTCAAATTGGTATAAAGATTTATTGCAAGCTTAAACTCTCTATAAGAATCTGAACTACTTACAGTCCAAGCAGATTGGTGATAGATAAGAGTCACAGGAATTCAAGGTGGCTAGACTTAGATCTCTTGTGGCCTCAAAGGGACTCATGACTGACAATCCATTTGACCCTCCCTTGGACTCCACCTGATTATTTTCTACAAAAGCCTGGTTTCAAATAATACACGAGTAACTAATTATGTTGGAATTTACCATAATTCAGGAAATAAACTCAATATTTTGCACTGCATTTTCAACTAGTTCAGCAGAAGGAAATAAAGAAGTGTACTTGATAATACTCTTAGCTTCAGTGCATGTTTACGAGAAGTCTTTTGTGTGGTTACTCATCTGATATCCTGTCTTTGGCATAATGTATTGTCAGTGAATTCAATACTATCCTTCCACATTTATTGGTTCCTCACTCCAATGTTTCCTTCTGTCATTCCCCCCACCCCTTCTGCTCCATTGTATCTGATTCTTGGACCCTGCCTAGACAAATGGTTTGCTATTGCCTGCTTCCTGAGAGAAGGTGACTGACCCAAGGTCACTCAGCTGATTATGGGACCAGAAGACATGGTCCTCCAGTTTCTAGCTTGATATTTTAACCACTGGTTCTTCATTTCATTTAACTGTGTTTAAATGTTACTGTTTTGACCTAGCGTAATGATATGTTTGTTAAATGTATTGTTTTAGGATTAATTCAGTAAAGGCAAGAAGTCTTTAATAATCTGACTCTAAATCTTGTGTTAACACTCTGAATAAATCTATTACATTTATACTTAAACAAAATGATCTTTAAGCAGGATAGCAATGATATTTAGGGTAAAAATATAACTAAGGTCATTAACACATTTACTGTAAATTTACTCAGTTGGCTCACCTTTGAATGTGAAGTCTTAGTAGAATTAGAAAGAAACTTTTAATCATGTGGACTAAGTCCTTAATATTTAGAGTTTCATATGGTTATGACATATAATATGTATCTACAAAAGCTCCAAAATCAGCTACAGCTTTTCCCCAATCTCTTTTCAGTTTCAGTTATTGCAAGTAGCTCCAAGGGTGAGGGAACTTTTGATAATTGTCCTTCCACTGGAAATCTCATCTCCTAAGAAAAATGTCCTAAGAAAAGTTAAGCTACCTACTTTAGTACATTTTTCATCTTTGGGCTCTGACCTTCTTATTCTCCCCCAGGCCTTCTAAACAACATGCTATCTTTATTTGATGTTAATGATACGATAGTTATTGGAAGATTTGTTTATTAATAATTTGGTTTCATCTCATTTAATTAGTTAGATTAATCTGTACGGGTAACTGAAATATAATGAAAGCTTTTCTTATCTATTTATATTTTCCAGATTAACCTAAAAAATATTGGAGAACCATACAAAATCCGAATTGGCCATGACAACAGTGGAACAAATCCCAGTTGGTACCTGAATGAAATTAGATTTCAAAAGATGAATTTGCCATCTGAGCAAGAAATATGTTTTTCTGTCAACTGCTGGTTATCTGAAGACCAAGGAGATGGAGACACATGGAGAGAAATACCAATTAGGAGGCCTAAAAAAGAACTTCTACCATGTATGTCTATAATATATAATTCTTTTTAATTCAGTTATTTGTCTATTCATTTCAATTACATATTTTTATTATTCATCTTATTATTCATCACAATGTTATGAAAGTAATGAAATAAGAGTAGGAAAACTTTAGATGTTAGGGAATTATACTTAGCTAGTATTTTTCAAAATACTAAATAGTCAAGTGTTTATTCTCCAGAAATATATTTAAAATGTCCCAAAATCAATGGATTGTTTTAGCAACTTTTATATCCTCACTTAAGCATTTCATGAAAAATATAAATTAATACACTCCCTTGTGCAGTACAGAGGAAATCTAGATTTACATTTTCAGAACTGTTTTAATAAAGTTTATTTGACAAGGCTTTGAACTTTGGCAAGTTACAATTATCTAAATATTGTGTGTTAGGGAAGAATTATTTGCACAGTCTTGCACACATGAATGAAATAAGAATGTAAATGACTTTAGCAAATGAATTAGCATTTAATAATGGTGGAAGTTAGGAGGAACTGTGCAATCAGTCAGGCCAATGTTATTTAAACTTACTTATTATATCTAAAAATATTCACAGTCATAAAAACTTTAGGTTGGTTTTCTGATGTACTGAACCATTGATAGACTCCAAAAAAGTCCAAAAAGGGAAATGAAGGTAGTAAAGGCAAGCAACTGCATTCCCTATTTAGCATCGTGTACCTTGTCATTGATCAATATAGTATAGTTTTGGTAAAACAGAACTTGAAGTACCAGAAATAATTACAGAGTGGAATGCATAATTTGAATAATATAGTCTAAAAAGACCAAATAATAAAACTATGGAAATATATGCGTTGCAAAATATTTGGGCGATGTTCTTTGGAATGTCCTTCTCAGACCAAGCACACATAAATATACAAAGTTTTATTAATAAGGCTTGGAAACACACACACACACACACACACTTACAATATAGAGATACATTTCCCCCCAAAGTTCCGCAAGCTTGGCTTACCAGTGTTCAAAATCTTTCGGGCACACCGGAAAGTAATCAGATCCAGCCTGGGGTTCAAAGCTTATAGCAGATTCATCAGCTGGTCGAGGTTCAAAATCAGGGTTGCAACGTTCATAATTCAAGACACACAAAGTGGAAGCTAACAATGACTATCATCAAAGGAGAGACTATGTTTGCTGTCCATTTTAGAAGCAAATCTGATGGATTGTGTTGGATAGTAATCCCATGCCCTCAACTTCAGAGAGCAATGGCAGTTATGACTACTGTTTCTGTTTGCCCTATCTCCTTTGCCTGCTTGGATGATAGTCGGTCTGGCAGCACTGGAGCTTGCGGTTCATTATCTGTCAGAATTTCTGAAACTGGCTCTGTCCCTGACTGCTTATCAATGCTCAGTGTTCCCCTCCTTTAATTACAAACCTGAGCTCAAGAATGCATTCTGCAATATAAGTTGCTGAGTTTGATCTCGCACATTTTCCAGAACATCTCCTACAAATAATTTTCATAGCATGCACAGCAGTGGTGGATTCCAGATCCCACTGCAACCGGTATGGTGCAACAGGGTCGGGCGTCCACCACATACATGTGTGCAGCACGTGTGCAGTGCATACATATGTACTTACTACCCACGATGTTCTAGCTGCTTGGTGGAGCATCGCGCAGGAGCCATACGCTCCGTGTGCGGAAGCCCCGATTGGCTGAAATACAGGTAAGAATGGCGAGCGAGTGAGCCCTCTGGAGCACCGTACTGGAATGGTACCTGGTGTTCCCAGCAGGCACCGGTATGCCCGTACCGGGGCATACCAGTTGTATCCCACCACTGATGCACAGCCCTAGATTCCAGGATCCAGTCCATCTACTATAAGAGATGGTAATATACACTTTGCATCCAGAACAGAATGTACCCATTGAAATCTTTTAGACTGGCAATTTAGGATACAATTATTGATAGTCAGACTGGGTTTAGCCACTAGTGTTTCTTTTTGGAGTATGCTATACTTTATTGTCTTTTCTTTTTTGATTATTTGACTTCTGATCCATTTCCCTTTTTAATAATTTACAGTTTGGACAGTTCTTCTTTTGATAAGTAATTCCATGTTATTAGTAAGTTATATTCTGATCCAAAAGGAGTACATCTGAAGGTAGATTCTGACTGGAAATTATGAGAGCTATTGCCCACATGGTTGGAAGGCATTCAGTCAAATGTAGTTGTTTTTTTCTTGAGCAATGCTTGGACATGAAAAGACAACCTGAATGGAAACAGAATTTCTTGCATATCAACAGCTGCCTTTTGGATGGAGCCAAATAAAAGGGTTTTTTAAAACAGTTTTTGTATGGACTACTCTTCTTGGATATAATATTTTTCCAAGTAAGATATTTGTTCAACTTTATTAATATTGGCGCTCTAGTAGCATATTTATCTTTGCCATTCTTAGTACGTTATTATTATTAAAATGTATTTGACAAATAAAAGTAAATGGAAACTTTTTATAGCTGTTAGATACATTCTAAATTTGTACATTTATGACTTCAAATTACTTATTGATTTTGGCTCATTTAAGTTGAATATCAATAGACACTAAACCCAACTATGGATTTTTGCTACTATCTTTTACTATTACAGAGAGTACAGCTTTGGGCCATCTGCATTTCTAGTTGTAAAAGGGTAATTGTATAAAAGCTTGGAAATAGCCATAATATATAGGGGTTACATCAAAGGAGACAAATGATACAAGACACCAAATCAGAATAGAAGATAATATAGGTAGCTTGGGGTTGAACTGTGAATCCCTGGTGTTGTCAGAGCTTAGTTGTTTGCTTGCAGACATTTCATTACACAGCTAAATATCATTGATGCAACAGGCTGCTCCCTGTTTAAATATAGTAGTTTGCCCTACCAGTGTTGGTGGGGGCATAGTTTTGTCTTTAGTAGTTCCTTAATAGTTCTTCGATATATTGTTTTCTGCCTGATTTTGTTTGCTTATCTGGGGTAAGCTGCTGAAGAGGAAGAGGTCTAGTCTTTTTGTTTCATTCTTAAGCTTTTTATTGCCTCTTGTGAATGGTATATAAAGGTAGTTTATCTCTGTCTATTGATGGCTGATTTGTCTGAATGCTGATTTTCCATGAATTCTCTAGGATTTTTGGGTTTAGCTTGCTTGAGGTTGCTTCACAGTTTCCCAGTTTAAACTATGGTTGAGTCTGTCCATGTGTCATGTTGTGTAATTTTTTTTTCATGTTTTGGCATTTGTGGATGTTTTGCTAATCTTCTGCTCATCTGTTTACATAGTGGCTGTTACAGTTCTTAGTATAGTATAGACTTTATTGTCATTGTACAAAATGAATACAATGAAATTGGTTGTAAATTCTTACACTATATATTGTAGATAAGTCCTGGTTTTCTTCTTGGCTACAGGATCTTCTGGTTTACTTAAGTTGTAGAAGGCTTTAATTGGTTTGCATGCTACAGTGAGTCCATGCGATTGTCTATTGGTTATTTCTGAGATGCTTTTGATGTATTGGTGTTTTCTGTTTCATAGCATGGTTATGTTGTAATGAGATGAGCAGTCAGGCACTTTTTGATAAAGTGTTTTGTTGGAAGTGATTGTATAGGAGTTGTTTTCTTTCTTTAGTATTCTAGATTGCTCACAAAGCAAGCTCAAAGAACACCAAGGATTCCATATCCTATTATGATCCAGTATAAATTTCTGAGTAAACAACTTTTTTTGCCAGCAATTTATTCACTAATTTTTTTTAAAAAAAAACTTTTATTAGAAATATGGACTAGAAGAATAAAGTATGGTTTATGTTTATATTCAGTTCAGGAATTATCAATTAAGATAATTTAATTAAAGGTTTACTTTGCTCTTCTTTACCTCCCTTTGTTAGGGTTAGGGTTACCTTATATTGTCTCAGTATAGACCCATAAGACTACCAGTACTTTTGATTTTTCTCCATTTGCTGTATGAATCATCCAACCTGTCTCCATATGGCAAACAGTTCCTTTTAAACTAATATTTAAGTTCTTTCATTCTTCTCTATAGCTTATTCTTCCTTTGTTTTTATAATATTAGTAGTTTATGTAAATACCACTGAACTATATTTTGTCCAACTTCCTTGTCATTTCCCCAATCTACTTTTCCCCAGATCTATCCAATTAATGCTGTCTGTGACCGTGTAAAAATTGGTTCATTAATTGGTTGTCCAATTCATGTTGTTTATAATTCCACCTATACTATGGGATTTTCACTCTTTCTGCAAACCTTCATTTATACATTTATTTATACAGAATTTCTATACTGCCATACTTCAAAGACTCTAGATGGTTCACAATAACAATAAAACCAGGTAATAAAGCTTCACCAAATAAAAATAATCTTCCCAATTCAGGTTGATCAAATTTGTGTTCATTGTATATTTTTCAGCATGTATTAATTCTTTTTTTTTTTTTATTAAATGTTTTTTAAGTTTTAGTTTAAAACTGGTACAACATCTTTCTTAATATATCAATCA